CCAAAGGCGACTAGAACCGAGCCACAGCCGAGCAGGCTCCAGGCGGTGATGGTCTCCCATGCGCCGCCAAAGACGATGTCCGAGACGAAGACGAGGACGATGGTGAGCAGGCTCCCGACGGACGTGACGACGGGGCCCCACACGCCGAGGAGGATCTGCGGAGCGCGTTCGTGAGCCGTGGGGCGCGCACAGCCGTCCGGGGCTCACCATGAAGCTCGCGTTGAAGAGCACGCCGCCCGCAGCGATGCCCGCGATCGCGAGCGCGGCGGCGGGCGTCGGGGGCAGCGCGAGGCGCGTGACGCCGTAGTGGTGCAAGAGCGGGAGCGGGACCCACAGCACGAGGCCGGTGCACACGCCGACGGCGGACGTCCACAGGTTCGCGTACAGCCCGAACGGCGGGGGGTGGCCCACGTCGTCGTCGCGCGGGCGCGCGGGGGACGCGTGCGGGTCAGCGGGGAGGGGCGTATACGCGCCGCGGGGCGGGACGGCGGCGTCGAGGGCCTCGGGGTCGGAGGGCAGGGCGATGTACATCTTGTACAGCACCTGGTAGAGGCCGTACACGACGGAGGCGGCAAGCGTGAGCAGATCGCCGACGAGCGGGGCGCGGCTGTGGGGTAGCAGGTGCTGTAGGGGCGTCGAGGCAGCGCTGGCTTCGGGGGCGTCTGCGCCGGGGCCGCTGCCGCTGCTGCCGTACACGACTGCGGTGGCGCCGAGAGTTGCGAGGACGACGGCGGCGAGGCGGCGAGGGTCCCACTTGAGCTTGAAGAGGGCGACCGTGATGATGTACGCAAAGAAGGCGTTCGCGTTCCAGAGTGCCGTCACGTCAGTGACCCTGGGGGGAATGAGTAGGCCTGGAGAAGAAGCGGAACGGGACCCTTACGGAGCAAGAGACACTGCGATGAACCACAGGAGGCCTGGGATGGTCACGCCGATAGTGAGGAGGGAGAGCTGGAGGGCAAATCTGCCTGTGGGGAACTTGGAGGGTGGATCTGCGGCTGATGGGCGGAGGTGAAGCTGGAGGGCCAGGACGAGGCCATTCCATAGTGCGCGGGGAGAGCGCCTGGATGTGAGCCAGAGCAGCGCAAAGTGCAGGGGGAGCATGACGGCAAAGGATGCATGTACGATATAGCTGCAGGGAAGGCGTTGAGGCGATCATCTGAGTTCGGGGAGGGGCTGGGGGCTCACAATATGAGGAACGGCTGCCGGTATCCGAGATCAGATTGGACATACTGCGGGGCCATTTGTGAGTAAAGCAGCCGGATGGTTCTGCGGGCGACACATACGCACTTGGGCGAGCTGGGTCTCCGCGACAAAGGCAACGAGGCTGAGGATAAATAGGCCGACGGCGGACTTTCCGCCGAGGGTGACTGCGAGCGCGTCTTGCCTGGACATCTAATACTATGGAATACGCGAGGGACTGTCTAGGGATGGGGGGGATGAGGGGATGGCAGCGTCGAGAGGGAGAGTCATTCAGAGGGCTGCAGATAAGAGAGCCGCAGGGGAAGCCAGCGCGCAGAGACTTGCCAGTGAGCCCAAAGCAGAGGTCGTCTCGACTCGAGGATGTGCCACGTGACCCCCCCCCGCGCAGGCGGCGGGTCGACAAGTTGGGCGCACGCCTTTGCATCTCTGCCTGCAACATGCTCCGCGCACTGCTCGCCTCCAGCAGGCCCCTCCTCACCCGTCTCCGCGCCGCGTCCCTGCAGCCCCACGCACACGCCCACGCCCACCTCAGCCTCCCCTCCCATGCGCAGCCGGCGCCCTTCCTCGCAAGAGGCATGAAAGTCCGCTCGTCCGTCAAGCGCATGTGCGACGGGTGTGCCGTCGTCAGGCGCAAAGGCAGAATATACATCATTTGCTCAAAAAACCCCAAGCACAAGCAGGTGCGACCCGTCTCTTCCTCTTTGCACCCGCCTGCTCACCCCCCACAGCGGCAGGGATAAACGCTCCGTCCACGTCGGCGGCCCACGCAAATATAGAGTCAGGGCGCATCGCGGGCAAAGAAAAGAGAGAGGGGACGACGTCGCAGACAGGGCTAGCGGATCCACATCTGGAATTCATACTGTACACCGTGCTCTTCCTGTATGCCCTCTGGCACCTCGAATCCGACCCACTCCTGCAGCTCCGCATGCGCCGCACGCCGCCACGCGGGCGTCCCCAGCTGCGCCAGCTCCGGTACGAACACGTCGCACTGTGCGAATTCCGGCGCGATGATGCGCGTGAGCAGGATGCGGTCCACAAACGCGCCCGGGCCCGGCGGGAGCGCCAGCGTGTCGCGGTACAGCGCCGCGCCCCCGACGACGAACGCGCGGTGCACAGGGCTCTCCAGCCACTCTGCGTGCGTCAGCCGCTCCAGCGCCGTCTCTAGGCTCGAGTGCAAATACACCGGGGCGGCGGGGGCGGGGGCGTCGGGCGGCATGCTGGAAAGGGGTCAGCGTGGGGATGGGGCAGAGACGGTGCACGCACAGTTGGTAGTGCCTGTCTGTGCTGACGACGACGTTTATGCGGCGCGGGAGGGGTCTGAAGCGCAGGGGAATGCTCTCCCAGGTGTTGCGGCCCATGAGCACCGCGTTTGCGTGCCCCGCTGGCGCGGCGGAGGTGACCTGGGCAAAGTACTTGAGTTCGCTTGAGAGCCGCCAGGGCAGGCGGGCGTTGTGGCCGATGCCGTTTGTGAGAGTCGCAGCGACGACGAGCGTGAGTCTGGCCATCGCACGGGTGGAGGAGAGACGCGTCCAGGCGCAAATTGCCCCCGAACGTGATCGGTCCGCGCCGAGCGATATCCCATCCATCGCACAACATTCGACTAGACATTGAGACGTAAATGGTCGGGAAATACATTCGGACATGAACTCTTGCGACGATCTACATATGGCCCATCTGCCCGTGCAGCAGTACATGTACACGATCCACCCCTGGGCGACTGGCGTCCGGCACTGGCTTGTCCGACCACCGAGCATGAAAAGCATTTCCATTGAATTATGCGCACAAAGCAACACAGCAGCACACGCGCCCCGCCGCTGTCCCTCACGCCGCCCACTTCTTCCACTCGCTGCCCTCGGGCGGCTTGACCTCGACAGGCGCCTTGCCGACCTCGTCCCAGTTCGTGCTGAGCGTCGTCCCGCCGCTCTCCTGGTAGCTCTTGAGCATCGCGCGGCGTGTGTCCTCGTCCGCGTCCGCGTACAGCTTCTGGAAGAAGCCGTTCACCGCCGCGTCCCCGCCCGCATTCGGATCCTCGTCCGTGCTCGCACCCTTGTCCGCGTCGAGGATCGTCGCGGTCACCGCGTCCCAGTTCTTCTGCGTGCGGCGCGGAGCCGGCTCTGGGGCGCCCTGCGCGGGGGACGGCGCGAGCACTGCGGGAGGGGCGTGAGCGAGGCAGGCGGGAAGGAGGGAGCGGCGCACCGTCTGGGCTGGCGCCGACGAGCCCGCCCCAGCGGCCGGGCGCGGCCTTTACGAGGCGGATCTCGATCTTGACCTTGCCTACGGAGAAATCGCTCTTTGCGGTGTCGATCTGGCCCTTGAGGGGCTCGAGGGCGAGCTTGGTGTCGCCGTTCTCATAGGAGAGCTGCGCCACACGGTGAGCGGGGCGGCGCGCGAGGGGCGGGAGAGGTGCGTACGCTGCGGGGCCCGAGCTTGACGGAGACGAGCGCGGGGTCTGCGTTTTTGTCGTAGACGGAGAGGGTCAGCTTCTCGTCGGACTCGTAAAAGTCGTGTCTGGGTGGCGTTAGCTCCGGGGCGGGGCGGGGCGTGTCGGCTGGATCTTACGGACCTTGGGACGGGCATGGGGGGAGGAGGTGGGATGGGCGAAGATGTGCAGTACCGAAAGCAATGGGTGGACAAGAAATGGCGAGGAGAATCAATGAAGGAGAACAAGAGGGGAGGAGGACGATCAGAGGCACGTTGAGCACAAGCGGACGGAAGGTTCTGGAGTGGCACGCACGTGGGGAACGCGTCTAATGGGACACGGGGGCGTGACCGCGAAGGCGACCGCGGCCTGCCCCGCAGACGTCATCCGAGGCGGGAGACCCCTGGTCTTTATGGCGGGGGCTCTCCTCCTCCTCCTCCTCCCTCTCCTCCCCCACCATGGCTGCACCGCTCCCCAAGGCTGCCCTCTACTACTACCCCTCCTCCATATGGTCTTCCGCCCGTACGTCCTTGTCCCTCTGTCCATCCACTCGAAAGCTCATCTTCCCTGCTTTCTTCCAGCCCTGCTCGCCCTGTAAGTGTGCAATCGACTCGCGCTCAACCCAGATCCTCATAACTTGCTCAAGGGAAGAAAAGGGCTATGGCCAAGACGAGATCGATCTTAAACTCGTTGATCTGTGTATGTACACACTTCGTATACATGCGCCGTCGCACTGATATTCCCCAAGCAAAGGGAGAGAATTATTCACCGACGTTTCTGCGTCTGAACCCCAAAGGTGCGCGTGCGTGACTGTACCATATGCATCTGATCGCACACGGCATCCCAGCTACCGTACCCACTCTCGTCGTCCCTCTGCACACTACGCTCTCGCCCGAGATCGAGAGTCGATACAAAGCCATCCAGGATACAAAGGTACGCCGCGTATTTCGTGGATGTATGCGTCCAAATCTCAGCCTTACACGTCCCAGTCGATCGTCGAATTCCTCGACAAGTCTCGCTCTACCCAGTCACGAACCCACACTACGTCGTCGGCTCCATCCCCCTCACTCAGCCCCGCCACGATCGGGTTCAGTGCCGTCTCTGAGAAGGTCATCGCGCTGTTGCATTCTCTGGGCGCGGACCCCAACGCGCTCACATACCTCAACGCCCGCGACGAGGCGTCTCTGCGCGAGCTCGCCAGTGCGCGACTGGCCCCGCTCGTCGCCCGACGTGATGCAATCAACCAGCTGCTCTCTGACAACGAATCTGCCAAGATCCGTGTGTCGGAGAAGACGCGCAACTTTTGGCAGATGAAGAAGGCTGCGACGGAGAACATCCTGGACGTGTACGCCGCTGCGGACAAGCCTGCAAGCGAGCTGGACGAGGGCGCGCGCGCAAAGCGCGAGGCGTTCTTGCAAGAGGCGAAGACCGGGTGGGGTGGACTGCGGGAGATCCTGGAACAACTCAACCAGGAGATCATAGGCCCGTACCTGCTAGGTCTGTGTCAGTGCGTCTCTACACATTTACGACGGCTGATATGTAAAATCGGCATACAGGAGACCAGCTGTCCATCGCAGACCTCCACCTTACGCCATGGCTCGCGCGACTGGCTCAGCTCTCGGGGGGGACGATCGCGGACGATGGGAACACGATTGTGGGGAAGCTGGAGGCCCGCGTGGACGGGGGCTTCAGCTTGCCGAAGGATCTGTCTGTAGCAGAGGCGCGCCGTCGCGCAGGGCTGCCAGAGCTGGAGCCGGGGACGAACGAGCGTCAGAGCCGGCTGGCGGCGCTGTGGGACGCGATGAAGGAGAGAGCGAGTTTCAAGAAGGTGTACGAGGACGGGCTGCACTGATGCGACTAATGGATCGTGAGCGACGAAAGCCGGTGGGCAAATTTACCTGTGGGGAACTTGAACGGTGAATTTGCGGTTGACGGGCGGAGGTAGTGATCACTTGGGCGGACACCGCTCAGCCGCATTGTGGAGGTATTCGGTATCTGCACGTTACAAGAATAAAACCATGGCATTACAGTAGTAGATTATCGCTCCACAGTTGAGAGATTGTGCGAGTCAAATCTCACAAGGAAACATGTAAGCTATTGCGGCGGCGGCTCAAATTTCACTAAGCAACAATCAACAGTAAAATCATACTTTTCTGCCGCCTCCAGTTTGATCCTAGACTTCGGCTCATATCGCATCGGTACCACTCCTATGAAAACGATTTCTTGCACCCCGAGATTCTGAAACAATTGAAGCCCCTTCTCCGCAACCAAATGGGGATCCTGTACTGCAAAACAATCACCTTGTCAATTTCACCATAGAAGGAATCGAATGTTTCTGGAATGGGAGAATCTGGAATGTAACATGGCCGCCGCGCAGGTCGTTGCAACCCAGGATCACCGAGCGCAGAGAGGTCTCCCCACGATCGCAAACACAAGCGTACACGATATTCGTTGCGTGTGTCGCCCTCAGACGCGCGGCGAGCAGTATGCGCAAGTGCGGAAGCGTTGATTTTGCGCAGCTGTTCCCGCAGCTGCTTTGTCGCATGTTATCATGTCGCCGCCCATCCTTGTACACGATGTTCTCCTAGCAGGTGGTGTGTAGCGCTACGGTCAAACTAGTGCGAATTCAACTCAAGCCCGCCAAGCACGGATTCGAAACTGTCGCTTAGTAATGCTAAAGGCAATCGTGGCTGCACTTATATGAAGGTCACATTATGATTCGGGTACATACGCAATGATAGTCTCGGAGGGAGAGAACGCTGGTATGCAACACCGGATGCGATCATGGCGGACTTACGGACGCTGTTTTGGGAGCCGTGAGGTGACTGAGGCAGCTAGCAATACGAGGGCACGAGCACGTGTTGGAGACGCGTCGGACAAGGACGCGATCCTGACTAAGCACACCATAACGATTGCGCCACAGCAGCCACTCGAGGCCACTCCCTGCTCTCAAGCCAGTCATCGCCGCGCCGCACTGGCACAGCCCAATTGGGAACAAAAGGATATCCTCGGAGGCATCAAATATTCCGCACAGAAATTCGCAGAGCATCTTAGTTAGGTATGTCTGACTCGGTGTGAGGCTTTTGTGGCCGTTTGGTTGATCTTTGCCTCGTTGCAGTGCCAGACTGATAGTCTACACGTGCGACTTGTGGGCCACATTCCTCTGGGATATATAAACAATGGGGAAGCCATATCATCCGTCGTACTCGACGGTCTCG